TACAAAACATGAACACGTATAAAAAAATATCAATATCACATAATTATCAATTATTGAGATTTTTATATTTGTAACTCCCAATTAATGATTTGAGAGTTACATAAATGACAAATTACTTAATTACCCTTGTCATTAATATATGAGTTATATGTAAACCTAAAGAAAAGATGGAATATGATTAGTTGAGCTTGGTTAACAAAGTTAACATAAAAATCTTGTTTTAGTATTTGAACCAACCCCTATATATATATATATATATGTTTGAATTCCTTCCATATATTGACGTGAGAAAAAACAAAAACAAAAAATACATAATAAAAATATGAAGGCTTTTGAATTCCTTCTTCTATTCACACGTACATAAACCCTAGAAACACAAGTTTTCAAAATGAATAATTGAATCTAATTTTAGTATCACAGAAAATGAAGATGATTAACATGTGAATAAGACATTGTTCATCATATTTATGTTGCATGCACATGTGCACATAATCGTGAACATCTAATTTCAGCATTCTCTTTACTGTGAAACTTAAACTTCGGCCTTCCCACATCCCCTTCTTTGGCACCATCACCTCTGCTTCTTCGGCCTCTATCCTAACTAACGCTACAACTTCTATTTCTTCTCCTCCATCCTCCATTTAAGCCTTCTGTGCCCTGGAAATTTAGGGTTCATCTCCATTTCAACCCTTACATTTCTTTTTTATTTACAAATATACCATTCAACTCAGACCTTTGATTTTTCTGATATAATGACTGTTAGGGTGTTCCTCGGTTTTCTTTTCCGTTTTCCCCTGAAACCCCCCCCCCCCTCTCTATATATATAAGTGGTTTCATTTATAAATCTCTCAATTTCTACAAACTATACAAGCCCGTCCAAGATATTTGAGTACAAGATTCATCTACGGTTGATGATGATTTAGGTCTAGTTTTGTTGATAATTTGAACAGTCACCCGATTTTGAAGATATGCATGCTTTGAAGGGAAAAATGGTAAAACAAAAGAAGTCAAATCGGAAAAATTTAAATCCTCCCGAGAAATCTCTCCCTTATAAACCTCAAAATACAAACTATGATTATTCATACCGAAAAAGATTTGGTGATAAACATTCGAAAAAAATGTCTATTATATTCATGAATGAAAATTAGGTTCAGACATAAAAGAAAGGGAAAATTGCACCAAAATAAAACCAACTTTCACCTGATTCCTATTTTGAGGAACCAACTTTCACTTGATTCATATTTTGGAAAACCAATTTTCAAAATTGTCATTTAGGGGTTTCTATCAAACTTTTTGTTTATTTAAGAGTCTGATTGACTTGTTGACTTGTTAATGCTGACATTATCCAGATCTTTTGCCAACTAAGATATTTCATGTCATATTAATTTTTTATTTTAAAACTAATATTCCACGGCATATTTAAAATTGCAAAATAATTATAGAAAAATAACTAAAATTCGTTTTTTTTTTCAAAAATTATTGTAATAAAATCTATTTTTCATTTCAAATTTTGTTTTTAACAAAATTCAGATATCAAATAGAAGATTTTTTTTCAAAAATAGACTTCTTTACTCACAAGTTGATATCTGAATTTAAAAAAAACGAGATTTAGAATGAAAATTAGATTTTATTACAATAATTTTTTAAGAAAAAACGAATCTTAGTTATTTTTCTTTAATTATTTTGCAATTTTAAATATGACGTGGAATATTAGTTTTAAAATAAAAAATTAATATGACGTGGAATATTAGTTTTAAAATAAAAAAAATTAATAGGATGTGGAATATCTTAGTTGGCAAAATGATGTCAGCATTAACAGGTCAACATGTCAACTAGACCCTTAAATAAACAAAAAGTTTGATAGAGTCCCCTAAATGACAATTTTGAAAGTTGGTTCCCCAAAATAGGAATCATGTAAAAGTTGGTTCCACTTTGGTACAATTTTCCCTAAAAGAAACCATGAAATATGATTTATGATTGTGAAATTTAGTTTTGTATAGGTTATAAACATTGAATTTTGCTTTTTTGAAGGAAAAAAAATCTATGAAACCTTGTTTCATGTATGAAATTATAAAATGAAATAAAATTATGTTTTATATCTTATTTCATTAATAAAATCGGGTTTTATCAATTAATGCCATACATGAAACGGACATTGATGGAGTTTTGTGTTCATGGATTAAATTAGGATATATATATATATATATATATATATATATATATTATTTGGATGATAGTTGAATCTTTATTGTTAAGTAACAGAATTAAATCAGCAAAATCATCTTGATACGTAAAGCTACCAAGGAGAATTTAATAATGCATTAGATTATAATATCATAATGTGTCAAAAAAACTTTATCATGATAAATAATATGTAAGTACGTGTTATGATATCGATGAATGCATCATTTCCCTGTTGTTAAATACCTAATATCTTATGTTACTTCAATATATCAAACTTTGTTTTTTATATTTTTAATATATAATCTGAACTAATTTTAATATAAAAAAGAAAATATATGCTTTTAAAATTATCATAATAAAATCTATCAAGAAATATACAACCATATAGTACAGATATATTAGTCAAATAAGGCGTTCCACATATAACTATTGTTTTAGTCCTTTAATGGTTAAACATGAAACGGTGTGTCTATAGCACGTGCCTTCTATATAACAAGTGGTGTATGGGTTCAACGTAATACATACAAAACTTTGTATATCTCTATACGAGGTATAAGAAGAGTAGAAAAGTTGAATTCTAAATTGATGCGGATGTTTAAGGAATATAATATATACATTGAATATTTGGATGACGGTCTTATGTCAGTTTTTGAACGATATGGGTTTTACATCTTGTAGAATTTTTGAAATCACACGAAAGATTGTAGGAATTCTTTTTTAAACTAGGACTTGTTTTTCGACATTCAACTGATATTATTTCGACAGCTATTCGTATATACAAGGATTTTAACTATTCTAAGATGGATTGGTGTTACAACCCAGATGTTTAGACGGGTTTATGTGATTTTTTGTTGCTACCTTTTATATTTGCTTGTGAATTTATCAAAGACTGTTATGTTTACCTCTTAATAGTTTCATTAAGAAATAACCTCTGAATCGTTAAGAGGTAAAAAAAGTCTGTTTCTTAATGATTCTAAAACCCTCTAAATGATTTTGTATCTTGTACTTTTCTTAACCATTCAACCCCTAATTTCATTCTTAAAAATTTCTAAATAATTATATTTTATTTTACGCTATATCATAAAAGACTTTTAATCATTCTGATCACTTAATCATTCTAACAACAGTAAAAGAATCAAAAGAGCCGGCATTCCTTTGGTCTCCTAATAGCCATGGTCTTCCTTACATCGGTGGCTCCAAAAAGTTGAATGGTTGATTATGATGTATATCGCTACAGCAACACCAAACATTTGATGATCCGTATCTCGGTGACTAAAAAGCCGCCAGCCAGCCATGGCCCACAAGCAGCTGCCACAAGTCGCAACGCAAGTGAAAGCACTCAAAGCAGTAGAAAAACCCACTTGCACGCCCACCCTACCACCATCCATATAAAATAATTTCAATTTTAATATATACCTATCCATTTAACCATCGTAATTAACATCTTGTTAATCCATGAATTACTACCAATTAATTTATGGTATTAAATAAATCCATAAACAGACTTTCTTATTAATAATATATATAAATATTAAATTAAAGTTGATTTCAAAATAAAAAATTCTTTTTCTTTATTATATATCGAACGTACAAAAATTTGTATTTTTATAACTTTTAATCGATTGAGTTGTAAATTAAATTTCACAAATGTGATATATAACCATTTTTTTAATTAACCTGGATATCCAACCCGTTATTCGAGCCGACTAATCTCAGAGACGATCACTTGCTTTGCATATTGTCAAGAGTCACCGCATTTGAATCTCAGTGGCCACAAAGAGATTTTTTATTCACACTACAACAAAATCGGGTTTATAGGACACTCTCAAATTATAAGTGTCTTAATAGACCTCTTTATAAGACTTACTTTATAGGACCAAAAAAATAAATTATCCTATCTAAATTTGTTGCAATAAGTTTATATGACTTTTTTTGACATCGTAAGAAGTTTTTTAGGATAATTTTTATATAAAGTATCTCATTATCAACTTTATAGAACACTATTTGAAAAATTGTCCTATAAAAACAAGTGTCCTATAAAAAATTGAGTTTATAAGACAATTTCTCAAAAGTGTCTTGTAAAGTTGCTAATGCGACATTTTGTATTAAAAATGTCCTCAAAAACTTGTTAAGACGTACAAAAGCGTCATATAAACTTATTACAAAATCTTTAGATATGACACTTTATATTTTGGTCTTATAAATTAAGTCCTATAAAATGGTCTTTTGGGACACTTGGAGATTGTGGGTGTCCTATAATCCCAATTTTGTTGTAGTGTTCTCTTTAGATTTGAACCTGAAACCTCCTGGTATTTTTGACATTTATAGTCAAACTCAAACCAATTAAACACTAATATTTAGCAAAATAGTTAAATTGAAAACATGTCAACCAAATTAGCACTATAAATAAAGTCAATAGTTGACTTGATAATTAGATTCTAAGCATCTCCGATCTATTTTAATCTTGAGAAATGGCTATAATAATATTTTAAATGGTTAATACAAGAAGTGTGACTATGCCTTAAATGGTATAAAGAAGGAGAGAGAATTTAATTAATAAAGAGAGATGTCAGGGTGTTAACGGAGAGAAAGAGAGATTAACGGAAAAAACCTCCGTTAATGATGAGGATCAGTTGAATTGGTTTTTTAATTCATAAATTTACACCCAAATCGAAGGTTCCTTTTCCCAATCTATACATACATATAATATATATATATATAATATTATATAACGTGTCATGATATTTCTGTATATATATTAATATAGCATGGAGCTCAAGGTACGTAGGGAGCCATACCCTAATTAAGCCACCTCTTTCTCTGGTTCTTTCTTTCGATCTTTGATTGCGAAAACCAAGAACAATGGCTATGGCTGGTGATCAAAACCTTGAGGAATCTTATTTCGAAGGTTTCAAACGATCCCCAGCTACAAAACCTCCATTTACGTTAGGAGATGTGAAGAAAGCCATACCACCTCATTGTTTCCAAAGACCCATGATCAAATCCTTCTCCTACCTCTTTCGTGACATCATTTCAGTCGCCATTTTATACCACCTCGCCACTACTTACATCCCCAACCTCCCTCACCCTCTTCCTTACTTTGCTTGGCCACTTTACTGGTGTCTCCAAGGTTTTATGTTCATGGCGATCTGGGTTCTTGGCCATGAATGTGGTCACCATGCTTTCAGTGACTACTCATGGCTAGATGATACAGTAGGGTTTGTTATTCACTCATTCGTTTTCACCCCTTTCTTTTCATGGAAGTTGAGCCACCGTCGTCACCACCTTAACACAGGCTCGCTTGAGCGTGATGAGGTCTATGTTCCAAAAAGAAAATCAAAACGTGGTTCGGTGGCACTTCTCTTCAACAACACCATGGGTCTAATCCTAACCCTAGCGATTAAGCTTAGTCTCGGGTGGTACATCTATTTGTCCATTAATGCCGCTGGAAGACCTTACGATAGATTCGCCAGCCATTACGATCCCCAAAGTCCGATTTTCTCCGATAACGAGCGAGTCCTGATCGTTCTATCCGACATCGGCCTTCTCAGCATGATTTATATGCTGTACACATGGGCAACGATTCAAGGATTCGGTTGGGTTTTCTGCGTTTACGGAGGTCCGTTGATGGTCATGAACGCGTTTCTGGTGACCGTCACGTACCTTCAACATACCCATCTTTCGTTACCCCGATTTGACGACTCGGGATGGAATTGGATCAATGGTGCTCTCTCCACGGTGGATCGGGATTTCGGTTTTCTAAACAAAGTGTTCCATAACGTTACGGACACACACGTGGTTCACCATTTGTTTTCGTATCTTCCTCATTATCATGCCATGGAAGCGACGAAAGCAATGGTGCCGATTCTGGGGGAGTACTACCAGTTCGATAAGACTCCATTTATGTTGGCGTTATGGAGAGAATCGAAGAAATGCGTATACGTAGAACCAGATGAAGATGGCGAGAAGAATAAAGGTATCTACTGGTACAACTACAAGTATTGATGGATCCAGAGATACAACAAGTTCATCAATGGAAAATTATCAAATTGTTGTAACTATAATAAAATTATATATATATATATATAGAGAGAGAGAGCTGGTCAAGTTTCTCTCACTAGATTCACATATGAGTTTTAGTTTTCCATTGTAAACAACCCTTTTAATGAAGTGAAATTATAAAAGCTTTCTACTTCCATGAATTCTCATTCTTTCTTGTTCTTCGCTATTTTACAGAACGATATCAACAAAATTTTGCTGAGAGACTCAAAATGTTGCTGCCACCGCTATAAGAACTCAGGTGTGCATTCCATTCTAAACTAGTTTAATTATGATATCTTGATCATCTGTATCACATGCATGTTTTATATATATATATATTATATATATATATATATATATATATATATATAAATAGATTTGTATGATTTGGTGTTGGTAAAGGTAAACGGGAGCAGGCAGCTGCGAGCTAGCAGGATCTCCATCTTCATTTTAAATTTAGAAATGGGATTCCATGGGAGAGTTGAGGATATGATGCAGTTATATATTTAAAAACTCAGATTATATTTTAATTGTTATTTTAGACAATATCTAACGGTAGCTGCAAGTTAAAATTAAAAATATTAAATAAAATAATCTAGGAAGTTTTGGATTTTCTAATGAATATCCTCTTCATATTATATATTAATTTATTATTTGTATTTTAAAGTTAAGTTGGTGACCCACGAATGTTAGGGGTTGTTTGTTTGGCTCTTAATGATGACATTAAGAACAAACCTTTTAATCGATAAGAAGTAAGGATTGTTTGGAAAAAAAAAAAACCTCTTAATGTTTATAAAAAGCTCTTGACGATTTAGTGTTTAGGGCTCCCCTAAATAATTTAGAGAGGTCTCCTTCTATTTTTACCTTCTCCTCAAACTTCAATAGTCAACATCAACAGTGAACAGCTCCTACTCCTCCCACTCTCCCACCCTCCTTCCACCTTCCTCCTTCCAATCGATCTGTTGAAGGAAATGATTACACTCACATCAAATCAAACCCACAAAAAGGCTCTTCTATATTGAAATCAAAATCAAATGGGTTGATATTCATACCCTCTCACATCATTTTCTCACCCCCCCCCCCCCCCCCCCCCCC